TATAAGCTTTTGTCCCAGAGCAGCTGGTTGTGGATCCCTGCTTTCCACAAGTAGCTGGAATCTCAGTCTCTCCAGGAATTCTTCCTGTCTTAGCTTTCCAACCCTGTAATCACGAGAGTATCACGAAAGCACCATGAAACGTAGGTTTCTGCTCCCAGAGTTAGGTATTCAGCAGTCCTAGGCCTCCACATCCTTCCTCCTGCCAGTGAGCTGGGGTGGGGGAAGGGCTTGGGTCCCTCCAGGACACAGCTTTGGTACATCACCCTGTTCCGTGAGGTCTGCTCTTTTCTCCAGGTGTATGCTGTCTGGCACAGTCCTCTTTCCTGTTACTCTCTCAGGATTAGTTGTATTAATTATATTTTCATATTATATGCGGTTTTAGGAGGAAGCCTTTGTCTCACCTCTCATGCCGCCATATTTAACTCTCACTTTGTCCCTTTTGTCCAACCCTTTGTCACCTCAAATTTTGTTTTGTCTTATACTACAATTTCTATCCTATCTTCTTTTGATTTAGATTTGACTGGTATATCTTGTAATTCTATTTTGCTTCCTGTTTCACATTTTCTTCTTATTGGGTGTATTAAGATTAGCTGAACACCCAATTTGAACAGAAAATTCAAAATAGTAATGGTTTAAGAAGGAAGTTAATTTTACTCTTTTTCTTAGAGGAACAGAAGTATGCAGCCCAGGACAGGTGTGGTGGTTCTGCACCAAGAGTTCCCAGGGACCTAGGTTTCTTCCAACCTTTCTGCTGTTTGAAAAAAATTTTTTTATAGAGTAATGGCTCTATTTGTTTTGCTTTATTTTTTATTGTGGTAAGATATACATACCATAAAATGTACCATCTTAACCATTTTTTAAGTGTACAGTTTAGTAGTGTTAAGTTCATTGACCTTGTTGTACAACCAGTCTCCAGAACTCTTCATTATGTACAACTGAAACTCTTTGCCCATTAAGTAACTCCCCATGTCTTTGCTCCAGTTTTGATACTGCATGCCATGGTCAAGCTCCAGCCACTCATTCCACAAATTCAGATTCTAGGCAGCAAAGGACTGGAGGATGGGCAAATGTTTTTTGTTTTTTTTTTTGGCAAATGGTATTTTTGTGAACTTCAGGAGTTTCCTAAAAGTTGCCTGAGGACATAGATACTTATTGTGTATATAACTTACTGTGTACGTGTATAATAACTTGTGGCATGTCTAGTGGTCAGGAAGGCTGGAAAAATGTGACCACCTAAAAATTCTATTGATATGGATGAGAATTTCTAAATAATACACTTCTTTTTTTTCTCTCTTCACTTCATAATTAGACAAATTTTATTCTGTTGATTTGAAAGTTCTACATTCAGTTTTTATTTTTGTATTGACTACCTCTAACTTTTTTCCCTGTCAATGTATAAAGCTTATAAAAATCTCTTTTCCTTTGAACCTAATAACACCCATGACATACTTTAACCACCCCTGCTCGCTACTCCCCAATTTCCTTCCCTACCATCTCATTAGTTTTGACTAGAATTTTAGTTCTAGTCCAGTTTATATCCTCCTGTTACATATCACTAGCCAAGGCAGCACAGAGTCCCAAGGGAATAAAAGATTAGTGCACAGAAAAATAGTAACCAGATACTGGAGGATAGACAACAACAGAACAAGCTATATCAGAAGAAGAATTTAAATAAAACATAGTAACTCTCCTCAGAAAGATAAGGATGATACTAGAAAGTTGTTTTTGAAGACAAACCAACTGAGGAAATTTGGTATGAATAATATAATTGTTCAAAATAAAAACTAAGTGAATGAGTTTAGTAGCAGAAATAGATACAACTGAAGAAAAGATTAATGAGCAGAAACTGGATTGAGAAATCAGAATATATAATGAAAGGATCAAGAGATGAAATAAGTAAGAGAGAAGAAATAAACTAGATGTGTGCATGAGAAGATCTCCTTACAGAAGTCCTAGAAGATCAAAGACAGAGAAAAAATTCTAAATTTCCAGAAATATAAGAGGATCACCTACACAGAATCCAGAATTAGATTCCTCAACAACACCACCAGAAGCACAACTGAGTAACAGTTACAGAGTACTAAAAGAATTATTTTGAACCTACAATTTCATATACAGGTAAAGTGATCAATTAAACATGAAAGTAAAATAGAGATTCAGGAATAAAAAGATATTTTCAGAAAGGGTTCCCCACAAATCCCTCTTTGGGAAAACTCTTGAAGGATATATTCCAGCAAGAAGGGAAGTATTATCTAGGAGAAAGCAATAATAGAGAGCTACAGAAGGTTAATAAGTAATTAGTAATGCTTTGTTTGTCTTACTAAGAAATGCTGAAACAAGAAATACCTGTAAAAACTGGGCTATCTGAAATTATCCAGTATCATCCTTATCTTTCTGAGAAGACTTACTATGTTTGTCCCATTAGTCTGCTTCATCTGATATAGCTTGTTCTGTTGTCTATCCTCCAGTATCTGGTTACTATTTTTCTGTGCACTTATCTTTTATTCCCTTGGGACTCTGTGCTGCCTTGGCTAGTGATATGTAACAGGAAAATATAAACCTAAACTCTTGATTTCCTTCCTCTAAATGAGTTTAGAGGATGGGGTTAGCATCAGGTTTCTTTCAACCTTTCTCTTTTCCCCTTTCCCATTTTCCCCTCCCTCCTAGGGAACTCCCTTGTACCAGTCTGCCCTAAAGTGGTCCATGGTGGTGTGCCATTTTCTAAGGTACTGGTGCAGACCTGCTGATTAGGAAAAATGGGAAATGATGATCAAATTAGTAAAGAAAAGAAATGTGAAGGACAAAAGGGAGTGGGACACTGACGATGGCAGAGCAAACTGGCACAAATTTATACAGGTGAAGCGGTCCTATGTGTGTGTGTTTATTTATTGTGAAAAGGGACAGTATCCCCCATTTGATTGATTGATTGATTATTGAAGTATAGTTAATACACAATCTTCTGTTACTTTCAAGTATACAACACAATGGTTCACCAGTTGCTCACATTATTAAATCCTCACCCCAACTAGTGCAGTTACTGTCTGTCAATATATAAAGATGTTATAGAATCATGACTGTATTCTCCATGCTGTACTTCCATCCCCCTGACAAATGTGTGTATTTAAAAGTCTTTTATATATAATTTTATATATAATTGACTATGGTGGGGAGCCTTTTACAATGTATATGTGTATCAGGTCACCATATGTATACTTCAGATATCTTACAATTTTTTTTGTCTATTATGCCTCAATAAAATAAAGCTGTGAGAGGTAAAAAGCTTTCAAAATATTTATCCCTTTGATCTAGAAGTTTTATCTCTGGGAATTTATGCTCAGGAGATAATCATAATATATATAAGGTACTTCTGCAGTGTTGAACATTACAGTATTGTTTGTAGAATTTAAAAATTGCAAGCAAAATAAAGATCATATTATAGAGTTCCTTAAGTAAGTTATTGTGTACCTGTATCTTGTAAAGTTTTGTAACCATCATAAAAGATCTTGTAGAGGATTACTGAGTGGCATAGAAAACTGTTTTTAATATAGTGAATGGTGGAGGGGAAGCAAGTTATAATACTGTATTATGATCCATGTTCATACAAATACGTGTCCAGGCTGTTTGTGGTAGTACAGGTGACTTTGATTTCTTTTTCTGTATTTTCAGGATTTCTAATAGTGAATTTTACTATAGCATTGTATGTTAGCATAGAACCATTAAAATAAATGATAGATTAGGAAAAAATGATAATAAACCCAAATGGTGGCATGAATGCTGTGAAGTCAGTATATTAAATACATTGCCACTGTCCTTTTATAGATAGTGGTGAGAGGTACATGGTATCTCAAGAAAGAAAAATATGTTTACACTTTTTGATCTAGAAGAAGCATTTTTTTGTGAATTCATCTGATTAGTCCAAGAAAAAGTGACAGTTGGACATTGTGGTTTTATTCCTAGCAGCAATAAATAAAAATTCCTACATAAGTTAAAGGTAAATGTTCAATAATTGCAAAGTGATTAAGTGAATTATGGTATATGCATTATTATGTGGCAATTAAAAATCATGTTTATGTAGCTTTTGTAGTAAAATGACAAAGTGTAATTACATTAAAATCATGTCTGCATGTGAATAATGAAAGGGAGACATGCATAGAAGTGATAAATGACATGCCTAAGTGTGTACAGTTGATTTATTGTAGAGACAGGATTGAGAGTTACTAACAAAAACAAAATTGTATTACTAGTATGATGCATGTCCAACAAATGACATGTATAAACTGTATGAGTTAGTAAATTTGAAATTTCCCAGAATTAAACTTTGGGCTCTTGGGTTACTCTCACTTGCAAGTGCTTGGATTGATGATTTTGTTTCGCCTCCTGGAGGCTTGTTTGTTGGAAGTTAGTGCTTGCCTTCCCACTGTGGTTCCCTGCGTGTGTAACCCACATCCTGTCTGGAGGAAATAGTTTTATAGGCAAGGGTGGACATGGGGTGATCATTTTTGAATGGATAGGATTGATTGGTCAGGAACAGAACTAGTAGGCTTCCCTTTGTCCTGTCACTGCTTGTATATAAAGTGACTCCTTTCTTTGTCCATTTCTCTTTCATGTTTTGTTTGCTGCTGTGCTAATAAAATAGGAATCTTTCTCAGATGAGTATTTTAATGTTTCTTGCCCATGCACATAAGGGTTGGACAGAATGTTCTGATGAGGGTAGAAAGCTGAAGAGTACCACAGGAGCTTTATTAGAAGCATATAAATCTGCCTCTCACTTTTGATTCATGACTTTAGTGCTGGAAGGGTCCATTTTACAGATAGAGACTCTGAGCCTTCGGGACACCTTGTCCAGGATTTTGTTATTCCTTGGGTCCTGGATTTTCCAACTGCTGTCATTATTCCTGTTAATTTCTAGTCCAGACCTTTGTGGTGTCTCAGCACCCTTTTCCCTCTCTGTAAGTCTCCTGCTTAACTCTGTCATATTCCTCTTTTTTTCCTTTTTCTAGAAAGAAAAGTCCAAGTCGAACAGTTCAGCAGCCCGGGAACCTAATGGCTTTCCCTCTGATACCTCAGCCAATTCCTCTCTCCTTCTTGAATTCCAGGGTGAGTTGCATCCACATGTCTTCCTTGCAGGAAAATGAAAACTTAGATGAACCTCACTAATAATAACAGTTCGACGTAGCTTTTTAGTGCCTACTGGTTTGTTGGTATCTTGCCAGGCACTTTATGTAAGTCTTTTCATTTAAACTTCACAGTAACCCTGCAAGATAGAGGATAATCTCTTCACTTTCTGTTTAAGAAACTGAGGTTCAGAGAAGTGAAGTTACATATCTAAAGTCACATAGCTAGTAAGTGACAGATCCCATGTGGTCCTGGTTTTCTGAATCAGAAGCTGTTTTCTTTAGACTGTGTATTTTATGAGAGTGCCTTTGAGTAGGCCACCCAAAGCCAGGGCATCTGCCTGCCTACTCTTGGCGCAAGTTTTGCCTCCTAAGCCAGTCGTCGGGTAGTGTCCTGCCTGCCAGCGCTGCAGTCATAAAATTCCCTTCCACACGTGTGTGGCAGTTACTGTTTATGAAGCACTTTGACTTCAGTTTCTCATTTTTATCTTCACATTAGCCTGTGATATAAACCAGGCAGTTACCATCATCCCTATGTAAGGAAACCGATGGATGGAGAAGTGTTCGCCTAAGCTCAAAAGTGACAGAGCTTTATTCTTTCTATGATAAAATGCTACTTCCATTTTAGTGTAGAAGTAGAGACTAAGAAGGCCTACGATTCTCTTGGGAGCTAGACTGGGAGCAGCCAGGTATTTCCTCCCTGCAAGGTCAGAGTGATACAGGAAGAACACAAAGGACAGGTTCTCTAGCTGTGTGCCGGGTATTCAGTCATCATAGAGCTCTGTGAGACATAGGAGGCTCTACTTCCTTAGGCTGCCACCATCTTATTCTTCTCACCCAGTGAACATTTAGTGAACCACTGTATGCCTGTGCTATGAACTGCACCAGAGATTCAAGAACCAGTAGCCACAGAGCCTGCCTGAATAGAGCATGAGAGGAAACTAGTGTGTAAAACAATAGAAAAATACTAAATGCAGGTGTGCACAGGACACAATAAGAGCATAAAAGAGAGAGTGATCCTGGACACAGAGCTGGGACACAGGGCTCCCTGGAGGGCATGATGCTTGAGCTGAATGTTGACATGTATGGAGACTTTCCAGGAAGACTAGAAAGAGCAAGTCATATCAGACACCTTTGTGTGAAGCAGCTCTTAAGTTATGGTCCAGTTTTGGCAGACAGTGAGCTTGGAAATTAAAAAGGACTTTATAGGTTGTGATAGGGCCATCTCGTGCCTGCCTGGAGAAGCACTGGAAGTTGAAATTTATCCTTGAGGAAGCATTGAAGGGTTTAGAAAGATCACTGGTGTAAAGTACATTTGGGAGTACATGAGACTGAAAGAGGGCAGTTGGATGGCTGTTTCAGGAGGCCAGGCCAGAGATAAAGCCTGAGCTAAGGCAGTAGGAGATGAACACATGTGAACTCAGAGCAGTACGATGGGTCAGATTTGGCAACTGGCTGCTGGAGGTGAGGGAGAGGAAGAAGTTGTGGACTTCTGTGGTTTCAACTTAGGTGGTGACTCTAAAGCCTTCAGAAAGAGCTTTGAGGCTGAGAATTCCTTGGTCCTTGAAGCAGTCATGTGGAGCCTGGGCAGCTGAAGGGCCTGAGCTCACCATCTCCAGATACCACCACCATCCTTGATATAACCAAGAGCACCAGACAGATGGGTCATTTCTATTTATTTTATGTTACAAGAAAGGTTGAGAGGCTCAGCTACATCCCTCTCTTCCACTGGACAGTGAGGGAACACCAGGTCTAAGCTACCATTGGTGGGTAATAAAGAAGGGTTAGAAAGCATATTCTGACCTTGAAATATAAATGTTGCATAAGTTTAAAGATTTTGGCTTTAAAGTTAAAGTATCTGGTGCTTGGAATATGTGTCATGAAATAGAAAATGCTTGTAGACCCTGTTGATAACTTACAGTGCATCTAAGCCCCCGAGCGCCTGCCTTTGGTTCAGGGGCATCAGTAGCAGAGATCATTGTACCCTGTGTGTCCATGATGGCCTAAGGAGACCCCAGGCCCTTGGCGCTGTACTGAGTTATTCTCAAGGAAAATTAACCACTCTCAGTTGCTGCCTTTGTCATATTTGGTTTTCAGATGAAAACAGCAACCAGAGCTCTGTGTCTGATGTCTATCAACTCAAGGTGGACAGCAGCACCAACTCGAGCCCCAGCCCCCAGCAGAGCGAGTCCCTGAGCCCAGCACACACCTCTGACTTCCGCACAGATGACTCCCAGCCTCCTACGCTAGGCCAGGAGATCCTCGAGGGTGAGTCTCGGTTGACCCAGGATGAGCATCTTGGAAGGGCCTTGCCTCTTGCTTTTGATATTTTTCTTCTTTACAGTGAGAGGTTATGGAAAGTGCTTCAGAGCCTGGCAGCCTCAAGGCATCTGTTAACAGTTTGGGCTATTGGAGGAATGGTTGTATTTTCCCTTTTCACGGAACGAAGGAATAAACAAACAACATAGTTGAGTACCAGGCTCTGTGTAAGGCACTTTTTAAATTGATGCCTGCTATAATTCCCTCAAAAGCCCTCTGAAGTGGCATCTATTGCCTCCACTTTACTGATGAGGAATTGGATTCTTGGAAATGTTAAATTGTTCAAGAACTGGTAGAGTGGGATGTCTCTGGTTGCATTCTTCCTAACTTAAGAATTCATGCTCTTTGCACTGTATCCTGTGAATTTCTTCTTACATTATATATTGATTCTCTGGCCAGCATGGACTCTTCATCACAGCACCTTCACAGAGCTCTTGGGAAAGCTCCCTTAGCTGGAGGCAGAGGTTGCTCAGGAATCTCCTGCCCCAGGAGGTCCCACAGAGCTGCTGACCATGTTGTTTTTTTCAGAGCCCTCTCTGCCTGCCTCGGAAGTTGCTGATGAACCTCCCACCCTCACAAAGGAAGAACCAGTTCCACTAGAGACACAGGTAAGGAGGCACTTGGGTTTCCCAGTTTCTAAAAAAACAGTGATGACTGTTGATGTGGACTGGATCTGTAGCATTGAATGTGCTATGTGAGGGTTGGGGGACAGACTGGGAAACTGGGGTCTCCAGGTTATAGGTAAGGGAAGAATTTTGGTTATCTTCGAGGTCGGAGGCTGGCTCTGGGTTGTAGTTAGGGTGATGGGAGGTTGTGGTTCAAGGGATGGCCCTCTAATTCCATGTTCTGGCTGCTCCTAGATTGCCGAGGAAGAGGAAGACTCAGGTGCCCCACCCCTGAAACGCTTCTGTGTGGACCAAGCCACAGTGCCGCAGACAGCATCAGAGAGCTAGCAGCATCCTCACACCCTTTGCCTCCTGGCCCCCTGCCTCTATTTATTGCATTCTGGTTCTGGCCGTACTGTGTTGCTGGGGTAAGGGCAAGCACTGGGGTCCAGAGCCCGCACATAGGAGCCTTCTGGGTTGGAAGGCTGACATAGGACTTGGAGTTGCAGCATCATCTTCCTGTCCCTGGCACCTGTGTTTGCTTGCTCCTGGGAAGAGAAGTGCTCATGTCCTTTTCGCGTCCCAATTAGGCTGGAGCGTCGACTATCCCAGGGTTCATCTGTCACCTCCAGGTAGCAGTCTCTGCTCCAGAACCTCTGGACTGAGCTGCTGGCGCTTCTACAAGAGGAAAGAGATGTGGAAGGCACCCTCTCGAGAAGAGAGTGCCTTGATTACTTGAACTTGAATGGAGACTATAGCTTCATGGACTTGCCCACAGGACTAGGGGCCCTGTAGGCTGCTGTTGGAGAATGCCGGGGTAGAGACTGGAGGGAAGGGAAGGTTTTTTCTCCACCAAAGGGCAGGAAAGTTCATACAGATTTCTTACTGTCCTGGCACTTCTGCCCATTCCTGAGGCTCTCCTGCCTCTCATGGGCTCTCTAACTGCTGACAGTCCTTTGTCCTGACCATAACCACCCCCTGCCTCAATACGCACACATGCAGCTTTCCTTGTTTTCACCTGTACATTTCATTCCAGCAACCCCTGCTTCCTGCCAGACTCTGCCCCAGCAAGAATTTGAGGTTCTGACAAAAGTACCCATCCCCCACAATGCTCCTTCAGCTCAGCCTTTCTAGAAAGTTCCCTTTGAAATCTGCATGTTTAATTGAACTTTGTGATTTTATTTTTTGTTTCAAAAAAAGTTTAAGAAAATGGAAATGGGCAGCACTGAGTGAAGACATATTTTAGCACTGAATAGAATATTTTTAAAATTAAAGTATTTGAAATATGTCTTTTTGGTATCTGAGTGCTTCATTCTTAAAGATTATGAGGGCAGGGCTGGGGGTGGTGGAGGCTGAGTGCTTGTGAAGTTCTGTGGGCTGGGCTCTGCCAATTGTCTTGCTCCCACAGACTGATTTTCTATTGAAAATGATTTGGAGACTCCCTTTGAAATTGCCGTGTAGTTCAAATTATATTTCTGCCCCTGCATACACTGAGTGCAACCAGTGGATGTTTTCCACAGCTCCAGGTCCTCAGGCATTCATTCAGGGGTTGTTGTTTTTTTTTCACTTTAAAAAAAATTATAGTAAAATATGCATAGCATAAAATTTACCTTTTTAACATGTGGCACTAAGTACATTCATGATATTGTATAGTCACCACTATCTAGCTCCAATTTTTTCATTACTTCAAATAGAAGCCCTTGTACCCCATGAGGCCCTGGCAATTACAAATCTGCACATATTTTTAGAACATTTTAGAATTTTCAAAAACTCTGCCCTTTAGAAAAGGATTCTACATTCTTTATGTTCAAGAATTATATTTTAGTATTCTCTAAAATGATTGCTTTTACTTCTCTTACATGGTACATAAAATGTTTTAATATGTTTAAAGAAAGGAAGTAATTGAAAGTATGACTAAGAGGCCATAAAAAATGATCAGGCAGATTTGGGAAAGAACCAAATAAAGTTTCTGTAAGTGAAAAACAGATTTACTGAAATCAGGTGTCACAAAAGGCAAGCAGGAGAGAAAACTAACAAGGGGAGAGAGCAGTTGGCATTCGTGGATGCCTTGTGACCAGGTCCTAGGACTAGGAACACAGGACAGAAATCCCATCCCTCAAAAGGCTGACAGACTGGCTAGGGAGCTAGCACCACTTCGTCGATAGTCCTAAGGCTAGCAGTCTCCACCATCCCAGAATCTTGATGAGGGAAGCATTAGGAGGATGAGAAGAAAAGGAAAAGCCAAGGAGTGACAATTCACAAGTAACTTGTAAATTCCTTCTGGGTAGTGGTAGGCCCAATGCATATGCACATTTGAATTAAGAAAAATACACGGGAGCCCACTAACTGAATTCATTTAATACAATAAGCACTAAAAATGATCAATAGAGCTTGATAGATTTTGTACAAGAGAAATTTGGAGTATGGAAAAGGTTGAGTGCATGGGAGCAGACTTTCATGCCTAATATACTCATCATCTTGGAAAATAACATTTATTTTAAAATATTTGTTGACATATACTGGGTTCTCTGTAAAGTACAACTGGTAGACATGTTGCCTCTGCCCTTGAGGAGCTGATGGTCTGGTGAGGTAGAGGATAGATGAGTATTTTGCTGCGCGGGTAGTGAGAGCAGAGTAGGCTTCTCTGTTAGGGTCCAGAGAAGTAACTGGGAGGCTTTGAGGTCATGGCAGGTTTACGAAGAGGTTGCATTGGAGGCTGGGCTTGGAAAAATGTGTCTGGATTTGAGGAGAGGCTCTCAGGGCAGGTTAGCATGAGCCACAAATGGAGGCAGGGAAGCTTGAGAAGATGTGTGTAGGGAGTAACCAGGAAACGGGTTTTCTTTTTTTCTCCAATGCTTTGGTAATCTTGAAAACTGGAAAGTTGAAAGAAAAGTTCATTGAAGTTTGTATACCCTTCTTCACCTAGATTTAACAAGTTATTAACATTCTGCCACATCTGCTTTGTATTTCAATACACATTTTTTTTTCTGAGTTACTTGAAAATAGGTTGCTGTCCTTCTGACATGTTAGCTTTAAATACTTGAGCTTGTATCCCCTAAAAACAAGGACATTCTCCACATCTCCAGAGTTTAAAGTACATAAGAAATCTAACAATGATACACTAAATTAATACAAACATTCGAATTTTTCCCAACTGTCCCAATAACATTCCCCTCACTCTCCCACCCCCGGATCCGGAATCTAACCTAGGGTCACATGTTGCATTTAGTTCTAACATCTCTTTAGTGCCCTTTTAGAACCTTTTTTTTGGAAATTGGTGGACAGGTGTCTTTCGTTACTGATATTTTTGAAGGGTCTATGCCATTATTTGTAGAATGTCCCAATCTGGATTTGTCCTATTTTAAGGGTTTAGGCTAAACGTTTTTGATTAGAATACTACAGAGGTAATGTGTACTTCTTATTGCCTTATATTAAGAGGCACGTTTTTGTGTGTTTGTCCCAATATTGGTGATGCCAAGTTTGATAACCGGGCTAAGGTGGTGTCTGCCAGACATTCTCACCTTTAGGTGCTTTTACATAAGTAATCTGCAGGCGATGATCATTTTAGACCATTCCCCAACAACCTTTCTCCTGGTGGTTTTATCATCTATTGATAATCTATTTCTGAATCAATCACTTCATTGGAGATTGCAAAATGGTGATTTTTCTAGATCAATCATTCTTATTTTCATTCACTGGCAGCCTTCTGTAAATAACAGATTTCCCTTCTTGTCTCTTCACTTGTCTTTCTCTATATATGAGTATTACTACAGGGTCATGGATTCCCTTTATATTCATTTATATTCCCTTTATATAGTTAGAATCAATCACTGTCATTTTGTTAGTGTCAAAACCATCTCAGATTCAGCCAGCTAGAATCCTCTCATCCTGGTTCATATGTTCTTTTGACATGTCTCCATCATTATTTGATCAGTTCCTTACTTTCAGGCACAGTATGTTCCTGACTCACATTGAACTTTGCCAGCCTGTCTTTTTCCAAGGAGCCCTGGGTCCTTGTAGTGGGGAATGGTACTTAGAAACCTAGATAAACCTAGTTTTGCTGAAGAATAAGAAGTTTGAGAGAAGTAATAGACTGAGGACAGACTGTGGAGGGCTTTGACAGAGTTTGGTTTGACTCTTGGTTTTTAGAGAGACAACCATTGGAAGCTGAGACCGGGAGTGACATATTGCATAAGACACCATGGGGAGGAAAGAGGGAGGTGGGGGACAAATTGGAAGGACATTGCCCACCAGATTATGTTTGCATGTATTGAGAGGGACTTACAGTTATGTCAGTTTGGGGATAGAGCAGTGATGGGAACACAGAAAAAGCAAAAACAGACTGAAGCAAACCAGGGAAAACAAAAGACGGAAGGAAATGTAATCAGTTAACCGCACTGGATCATCTGTATGATCCATACCTAATCCTAAATTAAACACTGAATATTATTCAACAGATTGCAATTTAATTATATTGGGAACATGCTTGTATATGTATATATTTGTGGTGATGGAGGGGTGCTAACTCCTGCTCTTACAATGAAGAAAGTACCCAACTAATATTAAAACTGAAAAACTAAAAAATAGCAATGTATGTTATGTAGATACATGGAGGTAAGTGAATACCAGAGGAAACAGCTAGCTGCTAACCTTAAAAATAAAAATAAAATCCAAAAATGAGTTTATTTGGGAATAGTAGAGAACTGCAATTTGGTACAAGCAGCCCATGGCAAAACCGTAGGCAAATCTGGAGAACAAAGGAGAGGAATGCTGTTTACAGAGGAAAGGGGAAAGAGGGGAGGTTGTTATGAACAAAGAGTCCATTGGAGGAAACTGGGGGTTTGAAGTGTCGTGGCTTTTCATTGGCTAAGATGTGGCAGTCTCTCATTGGCTGGGCTGTTGCCGGACCAGGTGAAAACCTTTCTTCTAACTGCTGGGTTAATAAAAGCTTTCGGGTTAGTAAAAGCTTTTGAGCAGGAATGGTAAATCTGGAGAACAAAGGAGAGGAATGCTGTTTATAGAGGAAAGGGGAAAGAGGGGAGGTTGTTATAAACAAAGAGTCCATTGGAGGAAACTGGGAGTTTGAAGTG